AGTGTGTGTGACTGCAGAGACTTCACCACAGGCCGTTATTGTGACCTTTTTGAAGATGGTTACTATGGCAATGCACTGACTGGCAGCCCAATCGACTGCACACCTTGTCCTTGTCCAGATCGCACCACCTGTGCACAGGTGCTAGAGACGGGGGACGTGGTTTGTACCAGCTGTCCGGCAGGCCAAAGGGGTTAGTTGCAGTCAGTTTATGTGCTATTTACATATTCTGACACACAAATGCTCAGTTCAGCATTAATATGCAAATAGATTAGTAGTTAAAATACATTATGCACTCACTGTAAATAAGTGTACATTTAGCAGATGCCTGTATCCAAAGCACAAACACAAAGAGTGATAATAAATAGAAAGTAGATTGTGTTAATCGATTTTAATGGATTCCAAGGTGTATGGTGTGAATTATGTGAAGATGGTTTCTATGGCAACCCTCTGGGCTGGGGAGGCAAAGTGCAGCCGTGTGTGAGGTGCGAGTGTAATGGGAACGTGGATCCAAATGCAGTGGGTGTGTGCGATCACATTACTGGACGCTGTCTGAAATGCCTGGGACATACGACTGGGGACCATTGTGAAAAATGCAGATCAGGTTACTACGGCAACGCTTTGGCCAATGAACTCAATCCAGAGCGAAAGTGCAAACGTGAGTATCCTTTAAAGCATGAATGTGGCACAAAACGAACACATTTTATTGTTGATTTAAGGGGAAAAATGGTATGTATTCCCCTTTTGCTTACTTTATCCCCATAAGGGCAGTACATTTTTAAATCACCTACACTGTGGAAACCAGCCAAAAGAAAATGGCTTAATAAATATGCTGCAATATAAAAACGTAAATGCAAATGAGTAAGTGACAGAAAATATAATTAGCTCAGTAGGAAAAAACAATAGAAGTCAATGGAAAGTCATTGGTGTTTTGAGACTTCAAAACTTAGATTAAATTGTTTTTGAGATGCTCAGCAACATTGAGCATTGTATCCTTGTTCAAGATCTTGCTTTGTTGCACGCCTCATTAGAATGTAGACATTAAAAAAACATTTTGTGCATGAGCTTTACATCATGTGGATGAGAAGATTTTTTGTGAAATTCTTTGTGAGTCAGGAAACTTAAAAAAAAAAATTGTTGGCCTAACATTCTGGGTATTTTTACATTGTTAAGTTGCCGGTTTCTGTTTCTCAGCTTGTGCCTGTAACGTGGCTGGGACATCAGGGTCACTGAATGACTGCCACCCGGATACAGGAAAATGTGTTTGCCTGAGTCATGTAACAGGAAGAGACTGTGGACAGTGCGAAACTGGTTACTTCAACCTGCAGCCAGGCTTGGGCTGTGAGATGTAATTTTTGCGATCTATCTGTCAGTCTATCAGCCTATAAACTAAACTGTATGAATTCTATACTCTCTTCTTCAATTCTATAGGTGCAACTGCAATCCCATTGGCTCCTCCTCTTCAGCATGTCATCCAATCACAGGACAGTGCATGTGTCGAACAGGTGTAGAGCGGCTGTCATGTGACACTTGTCGAATGGGATTCTTTGGTTTCTCCTCTAGACGCTGCAGAGGTATTGAAATCAATAATCAGAACCAGGCACTGAACATAAGTCAGATTTTACCTGAAACTCAGATTGATTTACATCATTTAAAATGGTCTCATATTTAAATTTGACTTATTTTAGATTTATTTTACTTATGCAACTTATTTTTATAGTTTTTTAATTATTAACTAATTTAAATAAAACTAACTTTAATTGAACTATTTTATATTTTAAAATAGTTGAATTTACTATTTAATAATCAGTTTTCAGTAGTCAGCTGTCAATGTTACTCTGCTAACCAATGTATTTTACTGTGAATTCAGCTAAATAAACGTACATAACTATAACACTTTGTTTTAATTCCTGGGTGTTTTGTTACAGTTGATTTTTTTTTTAATGTATACATTTTAGTACGTATTTTAAAATTTCATACATAATTTTGTCCATTGTGTCTTTCAAATACCTATTTCAAGTGTTGGAGAGTCATTGTTTCTCTTTGTCAATCTCCCACCTATAGCATGTAATTGTGACCCCATGGGCTCGACCTTGATGCAGTGCCATGACAATGGGACATGTTCTTGTCGACATGGGTTTGTTGGATATAAGTGTGATAAGTGTGAACTGAACCACTACCAGAACCGCCTGACCCACCAATGTGAGGAGTGCCCTGTGTGCTACAGTCTCATCAGAGACCAGGTGGGCCTTCCTCAGTGCACGAGTGAGAGAGAGAGAGAGATCATGATGAAGCATGAGAATCTTTTGATGTTATGATTGCTCAGCAAATTAAAAGGTTCACAATTAATTTATCTCCTCACCCACTCACTAAAGGCTGGAATACACTACAAAACTTTTAAAAACTGAACAGATCTTAAAAAACTGGCCATCATACACTAAACGGCTGAGGATCATACACTACCAGACTTCAAAGTTGTTCTGATCACAACAAATTCACGCAGAAACATGCGCCTTGTTGCTAGGAGAGGCTTGACAAATGAAAACAATATGTGTTCTAAAATCGGCTGAAAATATCAAACATGTTTGATCTCCTCCGAGTGAATGGAATCAAAGTCTGAAGCTAAAAAAATCGGAGTCTGTGACCATCATACACTATGCGATTTTCTATGAAATCTGTCAGCTCAAATCTGCAACCTGGCTCTGACTTTCAGCAGCTATAGTGTCAATACAGTAAATTGACGGAAAATCTGGGCACATATTATGTAGTGTATTCCAGCCTTAAGTTCATTTTCTCAGTTGTTGTAGGTTTCCCAGATCTACATCTTCCTGGTTTTTCATAATGAGCATGAATGGGTGGTGATGCAAGGCTGGTTTTAGCTCTGCCCTTTAAATGATAATGCAAAGCTCAGTGGGGTTCAAGCTAATAAGTTGTGATGAATAGTTTTAATAATTATTAAATCTACGTCTACTGCTGTAATTGAGTGCTGTGATTTTTCTGTTTGTAAATATGACTACATTTACACATTGTCTCTACATTTTCTCCCACATGTTTTGTTAATTTTTTTTTTTTTCACATTGTTATGTGTACAGGCCAATAAACTGAAAGCCAGACTGAAAGAGTTGGAGACGCTGCTCAGCAGCTATGACTGCAATAGATACAGTCGGCATTATCGTGTGTGCCAGCAGCAGCATAACAGCCTGGACAATCACATACAGAAGGACCAGGTTGAAGACTATCTGCCCAATGCCCTGGAGGACCTCCTAGCTATTCAAGGTAAAAAAAAAAAAACTTAACCTCCATAGTCCTAAGACTGAATTCACAAACAAGTATGTTTAGTAAGCACATATTAAATGGCAACGTACCATAATTCTATTTCTCTGAGGGGTGACTATCTAATATTATACAATCATATACAATTTTACAATACATTTAATAGTACAATAAATAATACTATAGTATATAATATTAAATATTCAGTATACTGGCACAGTCTGATATATGCAGGAAGTACAATACATTTACTATGTCTAATACATGCAAGGCAGTTTTATTAGATAAAATGTTGTTGTTTGCATATTGTTGTAATTATGTTAACATGCAGTGTGTGCAGTATGGACACTGTCATAAAAAATATTAATCCAAATCTCCAGTTTTCACTTGAAAGTGTTCTATGAAAAATACATGTCCAACATTTTTAAATCTAACATTTGATTGCAACATATTTCTAAATATGTCAAGCTACTACTAAATATTGTAGAAACTTAATTTTCTGTAAAGTTGCTTTGCAACGATTTGTATTGTGAAAGCGCTATACAAATAAACTTGAATTGAATTGAATATTTCCTATCAGTAACATACTACTGACCAACAAATGACCAATCAGTTAAAAGTATCAGAAACTTTTTAACATTTACGTTACGAAAAAAATCAGTTTCAATTAAATGCTGTTCTTTTGAACTTTCAATTCATCAAAGAATCCTGAAAAAGAGTTTCCACAAAAATATTAAGCAGCTGTTTTCAACATTGATGATAATAATAAGAAGAAATGGTTCTTGGGCACCAAATCAGCATATTAGAATGATTTCTGAAGGATCATGTGACAGAATTGCTAAAAATTCAGCTTTGTAGTAATATTTCACAGTATTACTTTAGCCTTGGTGAGCATTAAACTCTTATTTCAAAAAACTTTTGAAGGCTATTGTATGCTAAGAAAATGTATGCTTTGTTGCTTCTGCCAGTGACAGTCGTTTTGTTGGAAACTCACTACTGATGCAATACTAATGTTCCTCCTTTGATGCAGAGGCTCGTGAGGCCTTCATTAAGCAGTTCTCACAGCTGGAAGCATCTGCCCAGACCTTACAGCTACAGCTGCGTAGCATTGCAACAGCGTTGAACTGCAACTTAACAGACAATGGAGAAGATACAGAGGAAGGAAAGACTCTCAAGGGTGAAAATGAGTGTCAAGAGCTTGTTGACACTATATCCTCTGCTCTGAATATGCAAGACCAGCTTCAGAAGTTGACTCTTGAACTTAACAGCATGGTGAGTCTGCACAGATCAATTAAATGAATGTCTAATCCATCTGGCCAGAGAACGTGTCTTAATAAAGGGGTCCTATTATGCTCTTTTACAAAGTATTGATTTTGTTTTGGGGGTGTACTAGAACAGGCTCTCATACTAGGTTGTTCGAAAAAACACATTATTTTTCACATATTTTACATTATTACAACACCTCTCTCCCCAGTCTGGCATGAACGGCTCGAATAGTTCCTGCATCAAATGAAGGTCCGCCTTCTGAAATACGAAATGTGCTGTGATTGGTTAGCTGGGCCAGTGTGTGTTGTGATTGGTTAGCTGGGCCAGTGCGTGTTGTGATTGGCAGCACTCGGCGCCTGGTCGAGAAATGTCATGCCCCTTACCATAGCCGCCTGTGAGCTTCAGTGTAAATGCGTAAATAAACCCGGATGATTGTAACCACTCTAAGTTAGTCTGCCTTGGGAAAGCTAGCGTGTCTCCGACATAGTGATAACACTCGTTGCCTTCTCTAGTGCAGCTCAACCAGGTCTCGTCTCAATCGTCAAATATGCGTTGTAGTCCAAACGAGTCGTTCGTTGTAGTTTTTGAAAAGCGATTTCTGTTAAATAAAATATCTCCTTTTGAAGTGGACTTTGAGCTTTGTAACTTTGCAGATCTTTTTTATGCTCAAACAGCAACATTACAGACTTACTAAAGTTGAAAAAGTGAAAAAGCATAATAGGACCCCTTTAATGAAGGCTTTTGTGTCTCTCTGCTTCTCTTCAAACATCTTATTCTCAGGTCATGCTAACTGTAATCCCTAAAGAACCAAACAAATGGAACGCTATAGTGAATGAATCTGAAGTGCTAGTGAAAAGGTTAGCAGAAATATTTCAATGTCCGTTTGAGTTTTTGATGTGACTTCCATACATGGTTTATAATGTTTTCTTTTAACAGTCACATATTGAGCAGATAGCATCAATGTCCGTTTGAGTTTTTGATGTGACTTCCATACATGGTTTATAATGTTTTCTTTTAACAGTCACACAGACATGGCCGCTCATATTGAGCAGATAGCAGAAGATGCCTTTAAAATGGCTAACGGAACCTATTCACAGCTGATAACTTTACTAGAAGACAACTCCACAGAGTCTTATGTGCAGGATCTCACAGAGAAGTGAGTCATTATGTTTGTGTCTGTATTCAAGCACATTTTGCGGTTCTTCAGGTATTGGTCCTTAATAATTAATTTTAAATGTCACAGTCTTATCTATTTTTGTCTCAAAGTCTGGCGGAGATGCAGCAGTTGAAAGAGAATCTGACTCTTGATGTTAATGAGACTTTAGTGACACACCTGTCACTTCAGAGGCACAACTCTGAGATAGCCACCATTTTAGAGAACATCACCGCTTCACTATCAGAACTACGCAGAACGGATGGCAATTTCAGCCTCGCAGCGCAGGAATCCAACATAACGGCTTTCTCACAGATGCTTAATCAAACAAACATCACAGCAACCCAGGATCCTGAAATCACTGAGGTTTGTTCATGCATTGTGGATGGATGCATATATGTCTAGAGTTGATTTACAGAAAATTATCAATTAGTTTATAGTTAAAATCAGTATGCTTAGTTGTCATCAGTTGACACATACCACAACATGACAAACATAAATGATCAATATCATAATCAATATCATAAATATGTTTTGTAAGCAAAGTAAGTGCTATATACTAAGTGAACTGTGCATGTCTAATTGAACTGTCATACTTTTAATGCTAATAGGTGTTAGAAAGTTCTTTCATGGATGTTTTTAAAAGTTCTCATATGGAAAATTTGTAGGATTTTTAACAAATATCAAATTGAAAGATCTTTAGCCTTAATATTCTTTTTGTTGTAATCTGTAAGAAGCTTATTTGTCAGTTGCCTCTTTTTTTGTAAAATACTTTGACCTTGAAATTAACTAATGATGCTGATATGGCAATAAATATCCATCCATTTTCCATACCACTTAATCCTCTGCTGGAGCCTATCCCAGCGTCTCGGACCATAGGCAATAAAAATATTAATAAAAATAGAAAAAAAAAATTTAAATACATAAAAAGTGTGCTCTGAGTCTGGAGGTCATCGAAAGAATATATTCTGAACGAAAGTCATCTGTATTTCAGAGCGAGGACCTGATGAACAGGACAACTGAGTTGGACATTTCTGTCCAGTCCAAAGAGCATTTGATAAATAAGACCAGAGAAGAAATACAGCCCCATGTGGACAGTGCTGAAAAACACCTGAAAACTGTTCAAGAGCTCAAGCAGGTAAAGCCTGACCACAATAAGAAAGAAGCGCACAAAGAAATATAAAAAAAGTCTTACTAATTAGAGGTCTAGCATTTCTTTCATCCTGTGAATTTTAGCACCTCCTGCCAGTCACTCTGGTGGGAAATGTTACAGCATGAGAGAAAAAAAAAAACAGGGATGTGTTCTCAGCTCAAAGCAAATCCAAATGTGACAATTCCCTGCCAAAGGACAGTGTAATGAGATGCATCTTTTGTCTTTTTATCTGAAGTTGACGGCTGTGGCTGAGGGATTTAAGGTGTCAGCCGTCTCCTCTGTGGTGACAAGGAAAGAGGTTGAGGCGGAGATCCTGTCTCTGCAGAAGGGTCTGGAAGGTAACCGTTTCTGTATTTATACTTCTTTCATATTTTCACTGTACATAGAATCCTTTTTCAAATTATGACATAGCTGAGCAATAAATGAGGTAAATATGTAAGTAAATCTGTCCTAGTTACACCTTGAATTTTTTAAGCTGTATAATGTTAAAGGCCATAATGCCAGTTGAGTTAAATTAGGTTAAAATTAAGCATTTACAATAAAAAGAGAGTAGAACGGCATACTCTAACAATATAAATCTTTGCTATCACTTCTTAACAATTTAATACAGCTTTGCTGAATAAAAGTTTTATTTCTTTCAAAAAAAAAAGAAAGAATAAAAATTTACTAACCCCAAACTTTTGAACTGTAGTGTATATTGTTAGAAAA